AGAATTAATGAATAACATAACTTACAATTATTTCACACATTAATTTTTCCTAGGCTATTTTTATCTTTGTTGAAGATAAAAATGGTTAGAGCAGTATACGTTGTGACCAAAGGATAAATGTACATAGATCACACATGCTAGAATATGTACTGTATACTATATACACTTTCTTTTATATGGAATAACTAGCAAAACTAACTAGCAAAAAAAAAAAAAAAAAGTTAAGTGACCTTAAAATGCTTTTTACCATTACATCATATAAATTAAACCAATCAAAATAGAATATTTCTAAGTTATCCACTCTCAGTTATTTTCCATAGTAATATATCTAAATTTATGGAGCATTCCTTTATGAGATAATTTATCACCTTCACATTAGTTGTACTCTTATTATACCTCTCCATTTCACTTTTTAAGATGAGACATGACAACTAGAATGTTATATAAATCTATTAAATAAACCAACAACTAGAATTGCCAGTGCATTCAGTATGTAAATACTTTGTACCCTAACCACACCTTTGTGGCAATTTGACCCACTTTGCATTTGTTGTTCGGCAAACAACTGACTAGTCTATCTGGCAACCAATTATAATGCTCGGAGAAACCCTTTGTAGCATATCACCCTCTGCCAGGGATACAACAGATCATATGGCTCCCTATGGTACAGAGGCAAGGATAGGCAACGTGGTATCGTCTGTACATTTTGGACTTCAATTCCCATGATCAATGACAAGAGCTTGTGGGAAATGTAGTCCAAAACCTCTGGAAGACATCAAATTACCTATCTATGACCAGAGAATCTTAATGGAGGATGTCACAAAAGCCTCTTCCTCCAGCTACCCTTTTGTAAGACAAAAAGAAAAAAGAGGACAGAAAAGGATGATTCACCAAAAAATGACTATAAAAGCATCAAGACTAGCATCTAACTGTGGAACAAACCTACTGAAGTCACTGAATCATAGTGGGATGAGAATACTTTTTTTAAAAAAGTAGGCAGTTATATAATACCTCAAAAACCACACAGAGTGCCTGACGAGACAATTTGTTTTGAATAACAGAAAACAATTTTGCCAGAGGTTTAAGGAAGCTTGCTGGAGTTAAGCAATGTTTCAGTAGATTTTGCACTGTCTCCAGGATGTCAATCTCTGTATCCTGAAAGAAAGAGATTGTCAGTATGTCAGGTCAGGTAACAGACAGAGCAAAGATTACAGAAATGTTATTTTATTGTTTAGGGTATAACAGAATCTTGAAAGCCTGCCAGAATATCCCTGTGCCACCTCTTATACCAAAAAGACTCAAGAGAGGATAAACTTGAGTTTCTGTCTCATGCCTTCTCCTTTCACAGGCTGAATTGTCTCTTATTTTGCCTTATCTATTCCTGCATATCTTCTTCAAAGATATCCATGCATTCCTCTACACAAATACACTGCAAAGGAATTCAATTGACTAGTTTACTGAAAGTAGCTTTATGTACTCTTCTGTGAATTTCAGAGATACCAAGTAAGTTTTGGTTGAAAAAAGTGCAGCAGTCAATGAAAATGTGCCCCCACAAAAAGAAGTATCTATCGATATGTCTAAATATTGAAGCTCCATCAAACTGTCAAAAAACAGTAAAAATATTTTCAACATTATCTTGTAAATAAAGTTAGTGCTTCTTTTTGGAGCTAATCAAGCAGGATGCTCCTAGTGGTGGAGTTTATTGGCAGAAGGGAAAAAAGTCATCAAGTCTCCAATACAAAATTCATTCTATTCCTTTTTATTATCATGTTAATCATGTGACATTCCTGAATACATCGTTTTCTTGTATGTATGTTCACAATAAAAACAAAGTAAGAACTTCCCAAAAAAGGGTCAATGATATTTCAAGACAAAAAAAGTGAACTGAAATTCTTGATCAAGTTTGTGTCATGGTCTGAATTTTAAATCAAGCACACAATTTAAAAGATCAAGTTAATGAACAAAAAGTCATTTCTGGACTTCTTCACTTCTCAATAATTTTATTCAATAAGATGAAATAAGGTTCTGGGGAAAACAACTGTAACTTTTTTTGCAACTTTTAGGGAAAGTATTTTAAAAAGGAAGAAAAAGGAGTATGGAAAGCAGGATCAATTTGGGAGGCTCCACATTTTCCCAATATGCTTATGCAAGCACTACTATGTTGATCACTGCGAACATTTATGACAAATTAGTGTGAGTTGGTCATCTATGAAGGCCAATATGAAGATGGTCTTCTCTTATGCCAAGATTAGATTTTAGTTTGCTCCCATTTTCCATATAACTCAGGCAGGAGTGCTTCAGCAAAGCACACCTCAATGGATCTCTTTCATGAAGCCCTGGTTCTGTTTAGAAAATTGTATTTATGCTTCCAAAGATGATGTCTGCAGAAGAAAATGGGGATCTAAGAAATGAATTACAATAAATCTACAAGATGTTCAAGAGGGCATTCTGCCCTCTACATTTATATTTACAGAATCCCTATTTTATAACACAAAAGTTCATTACTTAAATACACAGATCAGTATATAACGCATTAGATTCATTCTGAATCTAACTGAAGTGGCTATGACCCAGGCTTCCATATTCTTCGCTCTGCTCCATCCACTATTTTTCATATCCTGCTGAGTTCCACTCTCTGCTGTGGCTTATATATATATAGCCTGGTTCCTTCAGTGTCAGCTTGAATGCATGTATAGTCAGCCCACAGTGCAAAAACTTTTAAAATGTCATCAAAAAAGTAATCTAACCTGAAAGAAAATATTACTCTCCATAACTTCATTCTAAACCTACCTGAGTAATGTTGCTCTGGTGAAGGAAAGGGAGCAGGAGGCCAATCAGAATAGAACTCTGGCTCTTATCCTTTATAAACTTGCTAATCCTACATAGAACAGAAAACAAAAGTAATCACATACAATTATGTTATAATACCATGTAATGTTTCAGTTGTCTAAATTAGAAGCCAAGGCTGTATAAGAATATTTTTTAATATGTACCCTTGAAAAGTTTTGATGTTCTGCTTACAAAGAGCATGTTATTGCATTATCAGAAACAGCAGAAGATGCAAAGGAGACAGAAAAGAAATTTTTTTGCATCTGTTCTGAGTGAAAATGGAAGAACTGACAAAGTCATCTGATTTCTTGCCTTCTGAGAGATTAGGAAGTGTTAACCCTCACCTCTACTACCTTCTATTAGCCCCATTCCCACCAAAGAAAAAGGGCTGTTCCCTCTCTACCACTTCTACAGCATTAAGGAATCTCTTGTAAATATGTAGTATTAGAAAGGGTAAGAAACCACTTACTTTGAAAGAATGTTGAGTTCTTTACTGAGTTGTGCATTATACTTTTTTTTCTTTATCTTATCTACGCTGATCATAGTTTTGTTGAGATACTGAAGAATTGAAGGGACATGGGGGAGAACTAGCCTTGTACCCATACTAGGAACATCTAAAATGAAGACAGTAGAATATGGTAAGTAAAATGAAAAACCAGGTCAGTTTTTTTCCGAATAGAAAAAACCAAATAAATCTTTATCAAACAGCCTAGAAAGAGAGGCTTATGATTATTTATTTAAAAAAATAAATATCCATGTTTCAACTTTGGTATTATTATTTTGATTTGTTATACACCATGATGATGATGATACCTTGGTATCAGTATAAACTTATTATACCTGCTTATAGTGTTTGTAGAAACAAAGGTATCTTTTAAAAAGATTAAAACCCAGAAATCTTGCAAGACAACCAAAATCCTGCATAAGCTCCATTTCTGAGTCATTTTAATTTTTTTGTTACCTCTGCTATCAAAAAGATCATGTAGTTGCACCGAATTCTGAAAAGGTGGCTGACTTCTAGTATAAGGCTTAAAAGCTGGCAACTGTGACTACTTTTTCAATCTGTGCCTCATTCTGAAGGGAAATCTGTATTAGGCAAGTCTTCTAAAGAGATCATTCCAAAAGGCGGGTAAATAGGCCTTACTTGTAATCACCACACTTCTGACTTCAGATTGCAGGAAGGCATGTGAAGCTGCTTCAGTGCAAAGGCTGTGTATTGTGGGCCTTTAAGTATCCTAAGCCAAGACCATGAAATATCTTCCATTTTGTTTACATATTCTGTAAACAACCTTTGATTAGAAGTATATACCTTATATATACATCTCTAAAGCTCAAATATAATACACTCAAATCATTTTCATTTACAATTTAACTCTCTGTCCTACCATCATCTGAACCTCCTTGCCTTTTGTAAGTTGCTTTTCACTAAGCGTTTGAGCTCAACGGTGGATGGACTGCAATTGTATAGACAGTTTTAATATTGGCTTTATTCTATATATTTCCTTGTTTTTGTAAACTACCTTGTGTCTTATGAAAATGGGCAATATTGTAATAAAAACAAACAGTGTCATCCAATCAAAACCTAACCATTCGTACCTCCCACTATTTCTTCAACTTCAATAAAGATGCAGTCAGTCACTGTCAAGCTGCTTAACTGGTCCTTAGGCTCAAAGTCAGGAGTATTGAGGAGGCTGTCAACCACATCCATCACAATAACAGCTGTTCCCTCTCCCAGACTCTTGGCTGAGAGCACAGCAAATAAATTTGATAATATATCGTATTCTGGATGCCCTGGCTTCTGCTTAGCCAGCAAAGGGAAATACCTAAAAGCAAAGTGAAATGGGGGTGGGGGGGAGGATTTTAAGAAATAAATTATATGGGATCCAAAACTGAAAAACAAGGACAAGTTTTTCATTCTTCCGGTGGACATCTTACAGAAACTGCTTCAACTTCTTTTAGTATAAAAATATGCACAAACATTTCCAGATATTAACAGTGAAGAAAAGCATGAAATCCCCTGAATGGCTGCTACCTAATAATTCCAGACTATTACTGGAGATCAGGAACAGACTATTCTATAACATACACACTAGCCTTGGAGATTAAATATAGTTGAGATGAAGTGCGATTCTATCTGTAGGGTAAAAGCACCTGGAAAGATCAACAGATAGAACTCCTGCGGTAATAAGACGTGGTTCATACACTGTATTAAGAGATAATTAAATAATCACATTATTTAGTTTTGTCTTTCTTGTATTGTAAATCATGGTTTGGGTGTAATGCAAGAAATCACTTGATTTAAAAAGGGTTGGATTGGGAAAGGAGAAACTCTGGTAACTGTGAGCCACTTCTTTAAGCTTCTTTGAATCACAAGTTTACAGTTTAATCTTGCTGACAGCTCCACGGAAAGAAAAACAGGGAGAAGAAGAGAACAAAAGGACACTATATTTTGGCAAGACACAAATTTTTGCAATATATGATTCTAACCCTTTTTTGCCTGGTCCCAATATTACAATTATTTATACTTACTGCTATGTTTGTACATAAAGCTCACAGGCAGCCAACTATGGCCCTCCATTTGTGACTGACATACAATTTCTATCAGCCCAATCAGCAATGTGAATTATAAGAGATAACAGGGGTTTCAGTCGGTGAATACTGCAGATTGCAGAGAGTTCTAAAACTCCTTGCACAGCAATAAAGCTACTGGGTTTAAAGCATTTAAATAATGTAGATAGCAAAGTCTATAAAAATTGTTGTTTTTTGCTAAAAAATAAATAGATTACCTGGGGTTTTTGCTCCAGATATGAATAATTTTGAATAAAGGAGTAGGAGAATATTGGCTCTCAGAAGCCAGCCTGGTGATCTGAGAGAACAAATCAAGATACGTTAATAAGTATATCTCAGTACAGCTATTTAGAATGGAAGAATCAAGACTATTTGCATCTGAAAGAACCTTTAACTATCTGAGCTCACATGCTGCACTATGCCAGTGGTTTGTTTCATCTTGACTTAGCGCAGTGTGAATCCAGTATGACGTCAACCACTGTTTGCTGTGATGTCTTTCGCATCAGAAGAGCAAGAGCTGCCTCCACTGATGTCAAGTGCAAAAATACCTTTGAGGAGACCAACCAAGCATGTTACCATCAGGGGTTGCCTACAATTCACCAAGCGAGAGGGGCCTGCTGTTAATTTTAAAGAATAGTCTCTAAGTCCCAGGACACCGGCTCCAGAGAGAAGAGGGTATCACATACCATCTCTCTGCTACACTACAGGACACTTCTTTCTAGACTGAGCTAACCAGAAGAACAGAAACTTCCTGTTATGTTTGAATATTATACAATATTACATAAATATTATAAATATTATACTATAAATAGTTTATTTCACTTTTGTTGGTGAAAGTTAGCCTGATTTAAGCGGAAGAAGTTGCATTTATGAACTGCAGATCCATTTCTACTCCACTGTGGCTCTGCCAGTAGCTTCACCTATTATGGAGGCCAGTGGTACAACTGAAAATAAGGGTGGGGGGAACCCTGAATGCAGTGCCCTTTGCCCAGTAAATGAGATGTGAACTCTAGCTAACTTAAGGATACACATATTTCATCTAAAGGACACTGTTCTGTAATTCTTACATTTCTCAGCTGCAAATCTGCAGTTGTATTTACTGAGGTGATCTATGTCAGAGTGATTTAAAGTCAGCCAATATTTATTTATTTATTTATTTATTTATTTATTTATTTATTCAATTTATATGGATACATATCTCAAGTAAATTACTCTGGGCAGAAAATAATGTTAAAAATATAAAAACAGAAAAACAAAACAAGACACCTAAAATAACAGCCGGGATAAAAACAGCTCCATTAATAACAATTAACGTAGCCAATGCATGGGCTCAACCTCACTTCCTGACCTCCAGGCCCGGTGATAGATTGGTAATGTTTAGAGTACAATAAAAGCTACTGAAAATGTACTGTAATTAGATTTAGAAACACTTGGACCATCTAAGGGGGACATAACAAAGTGAGATGTTTTATTTTAAGGTACTCTCTTCCTTTTGCCCCAAATTCTGCTCCCACCCCCCCAAGAATAAGGCACTTGCACAGTTTGTACTAGGCAACCTTGGGAATCACCTACTGAAAGGAGCAGCCTTACCTGGGGCCACACCACTGCACAGAACACAGCATCAATCTCTTCCACACTAAAGCTGTACTTTTCAAAGTCAGAGAAAAAGTCTGCTACAAGCTTAAGTCCAAGGCGCCTTAAGTTTTTCAGCTGGTTGATAAATCTGAGTTGAATCTGTAAAAAAACCTGTGATGATTCCTTCTTTCCTTAAGCAAAACATTTTCAGAAAATTGCATTTTTTTTATTCATGCATGGGGCCAAAATATTTTAAAGATTAGTTATCAGACATTAGCACGCACTATCCACATGTTGTAACTACTCAAATGGGATAATACTTTGAGAAGGAGCTTTTTAGACATCTCACTAGTCACACCTTATGTAACTGCATATGATTTTTTCCCCCATAACCTTCTCACTATGGAAACTATAACCTCTATAATATTTGATCTCTTAGCAGAGGTAGTCAACACGAATTTGGTTAAGAATTTGCATGGCAGTGAAAGAAAAAGTAAGCACCATAACCACAAAAACATTTATCAGAAATGCAAACTATAGGAAATCGTAAGGCTGTAAGTTCATTTTTAACTATACGAAGTCAAAGTTTAACACAAATGGGAATATTTGTCTGTAATGTATGACTAATATGTTCAGAAAACTACCAAGTATAAATAGGGCTCTCACAGACTTTAAGTGGCTTTTAGCTCCTCAAGAGATAACGAAATGCTAAATTAGATTTAACAAATGACAATGGTGAAAGAACTTTTTGGGTTACTGAATTACAGTTTTTCATTTCAGAGTTACTGAGTAACTTTATGCAAAAGGACTCCAGGAATTCTCTTGCCAAAAAGATCAGCTTTCTCCAAGTTTAACCAGCTGCCTGACTCACTCACATAGGACATTATGTCCAGTCAGAGCCTGAAAGAACTTTTGGGAATTGAACAATATAACTTTTGCCACATCTAATGATTAGAAGTATTGCTCTATGCTGCCCTATGACTATAATAAAGATTTGATTTGATTTGATATTGCTGTAGCAGGGACAAGCACCTCGAACATGATGGGTTCCGTACTCTACCATGAACTGCACTGTCTCCCAACAGAAGTGTCTCACACATTGTTGTGGTGACACAATAAAACGGAAGAGCACTATCAAGACAATGTAATTAAATTTGACAAGCAAATTTAGTTTACTGTTATGTAGCGCTGAAGCAGTACAGTTCATCATGCCCAGCATGACTGTCCCTGCCAAGAGTATACAGGATTGTAACAGGAGGTTGCTAATGCTGATATTATGAATGATTTTTTAACCGATACTCTAAATCTAAAAAGAAATACACACTGCAATTTTGTGTTTTAAATTTAGGAACTAAACCAAAATGTTTAATTTTGTAAAATAACTGAAATGCATCCTTGCAAGTCAGAGCTCATGCTAATTTTCAGGAAGCATTTATCTTTATTACTTTAATTCAAGCACACTAAATAAGAAAGATTACCAAATTAGCTTACTAGCATTCCTGTGTTAATTAACCACACTTCAAGTTTTTTTTTTTTTTTACTCTCACAGGCCAGCTTAAATATGCAGCAGCTCTCACCTTTTCTCTTTGCTGAAGAATGTGGGATATTGTTGCTATCATGCAAAGTAAAATCTGTAAAATCTCAGGCAGGTCCTGGCTGATCAGATGCCCCATGTTTTTTAGTACTACTTCCAAGCTGTTGAAAAGACTATGCTGACGGCCTAAAGGTAGGACTCTCGATAAATCCAAATCTTGCACTGCTTGAAGCACTGCAGACTGGCAATGTCCTTTAAAACAGAGAGAAAATGTAAAAGGGGGAAGAAGAGAATAATGAATGAATAATGAATGAATAATGAATGAATAATGAACACTCTATAGCAGTGTTTCTCAACCTTGGCAATTTGAAGGCGTGTGGACCAACTCCCAGAATTCCCCAGCCAGCCATGCTGGCTGGGGAATTCTGGGACTTGGCCACACGCCTTCAAGTTGCCAAGGTTGAGAAACACTGTCCTACAGAGATGAGGATACTGTTCAATGTTTCATATGTGTAAATCTAGATTCAAGATTTGGTTATAACATGCAGAAATCAGCAAATTAACATTGGCTGTGCTTTAGCAGCAAGATATTGCCCAGTTTGGGGAATCAAATTTTAAGAAGACTATTGAAAAAAACTAAGAAAAACAGTCAAACTAATAAACAGGGAGAAGGCAATTCTTGCTGAAAAGAGAGCAAAATTAAGGCTAAAACCCTATGCGCATGTTAGTCTCACTTAACCTAACTAGACCACCCTCAAAATAAGGATGTATGGGATTATAACACAGGATATATGTTCATATTTTCAAAGTGCAACTGGCTATTTCACATTAATCAAGGCCTATCGGATGTGCCAACTTAGTTTACTAGCTAAATGTTTAATGTTAGGTATATGCAAAACCTGTGTTCTGCCAGATCACACTGATTCAACCATTTCATTAATCCCCAGAACTATAAATTTTGGGGGAAGTTCTGGACATTGTCTATCTCCATTTTGTCCAGAGTACCATGTCCACAAAAAGACAAACCACTTCTGGAAAACCCCAGAACAGCTGGATTGGTATGGTCCATAGGAGGAACAGAATATTGCAAGATGTCATCTCCAATTTAAGTGATACCTAGTTTTGCCCATGCTGTTACCTAAAACAGAAGAAATATTGGGCTACTCATCTAAGACAATTTCATGTTTGTGTGTTTATTTATTTAAATTTGCACACCACATGACTCCCAGTGACGCTACAGTTCAAAATTCAAAGTTAGATTACAAAAGCAAAACAAGGTGCCTAAGAAAAGTGGAAAGAAAGGTTTATATTTTCCCATAATCAACTACTCAATCAATCTCTTTAATATTTCATGTCAACTTTCACAGCTGCTTCATTATTGCTGCACATGGTGCTCATGCTCATGAATTTACATTAAGAAAAGTTGGACTCAACACAAAATGTTGCAGTATGTAATTGCCCTAAACAGGCAGGTTCATGTTCAAGATTCCAGTCAGTCAGCCATAACCTCCTCTAGGATATTAGAGGCCTCATATAGGCAATCCCCCAGGCCACATGATCCTTGAAATCACCAGTTGCAGTCCATCACAGTTGGACATAATTCTTCTCCACTATTAGCACTAGCTTTACCTGTCACCACTACTGCTGTTATGATGTGGCTGATGAAAGGCCACTGAACCCTTCAGAGTATTAGCATTCCTGTAAGAGGACTCAAAATCAATTTTAGAGCACTCTCAGAGCAATTGCCAGAGTGATTAAAAGCTTCCAGTCTTGCCCTCCAAGAATTAACATGAGCTCTGAGGAGCTTGATGGTCCATCACACAGCCCATCAAAGTCACCATATTCTGAAGTCGTGAGCACCTATCAGCAACAATGTGCAATGGCAGGAAGGTGGGTAAGAGAGTTAGGGGTAAGGAATGGAATGTAAATGGAAGGAAATTCTCCTTGCTTTCTCTCCGCTGTTATTACCAGGAGAGAAAGTGATTCTAGTCCTAAGACTGTGGTGTTAAGTGCAGGCCCCAGCTCACTAGTCCCACTGAAAATGCTGCACTCTGCTTGAAATGTTAAGGAACCATACATGTCATCCAACACTCCACTTCCCACTCATTCTTCCAATTCATTTCTTTATACATTTTTTAAACCACCTCAATCTTGAAATATTCTATGCGGTGCAAAAGAACAACAGATGAGTCAATGCAGTAATACATGCACAGAAATAAAGTAATATTATTTTGCAATATATATTCAACATTCTGGGGCTACTGGCCATGCTCCATCTTCACTGGGCAATGTTGAGAGTGGAGACAGTTCCCATATGAAAAAAAAAGTCGGCTGGGTGACTTTGGGCCAGTCACTCTCTCTCAGCCCAACTCACCTCACAGGGTTGTTGTTGTGGGAAAAATAGGAGGAAGAAGGTATGTTGGCCACCTTGAGTTATTTATACAAATAATAAAGGTGGGATAAAAATATTTTTTAAAAATGGTTTTGTTTTATGTTTATTTCTACTAATGTCAGTCCCCTTAGGCATGTTGACAGTTTCCTCATATTTCTCAATGGTCTTTTTCCTCTAAACCTGTTGGTACTTAATTTTTTTTCTTGCGCAAAACATACCATTACTGAGATGTCTCACAGGCTCAAAGAGCAGATCCAGAAACACTCCTATCTCTTCAGGCAATGAGCCAGCCAGGAATCTCAAAACAATAGCCATACGGGTCCCTGCAGCCGATTTCCCTTGTGTTTTGCTTCCAGTTTTGTTTCTCATCCGTCCATACAGAATCCTTACGGGGGTAAAAAGAAAATCATATTAGCTTCTCAGAAGCAATCCATCTGCAGGCCAAAGGCTCAGTACATGAAAACCTTAGCAGAAACTCACAAGTTGCTACAAACTGCAAGGATAGCTATTTGCCCCAAATCAAAGAGGCAGTTTGATGTAGTGGTTAAGTGCTGGTCTAGAAACTGGGAGACCATGAATTCCAGTCCTCCTTTAGACATGAAAGCTGGTGGGGTCACTGGCCAGTCACTTCTGTCAGCCCAATCCACCTCACAGGGTCTGTGTCATGCAGAAAATAGTAGTAGTTGTAAAAAATAAAGGTGGGCTATACGTCTGATAAATAAATAAAATGAATGTTGTTACAAAATAATTCACAACTGGAAGCTGTTTCATTCCTCCATCCATACTTACTAGAACTTATTTAATTCCTTTACCCACATTAATTTTATTTATTTATAATTTTGGCTTCTACAGCTGCCCATTTTACACAGCTCTGGGCTGCATCTCTCCAAGCTTGGCTGATATTGAAAAGCTAAGCAGGATCAGACATGAAACTTTGACAGGAGATCCTAGGGCTGCAGACTACTAGGATGTTGATAACAAAAACAAAAACACCTTTCCATATTGTTGCCAGAAAATTACATGGAAGTCACTAGGAGTCCAGTTTGATTACCCAGTTTAATTAAACCCCAGCTTTTCCAAGGTACTGTATATGGTAAACAGTTTTGCTTCCATTTTATCTTTACAATATCTCTGAATTATGTTAGACTAGGAAGTAGTAAATAGTTCAAAGTTAACCTCATGAATGGTATTCAGAGCCAGCCTTTTCCAATTCTAGACCAGCAGTATAACTATTTCACGACACTTGTTCTTCACCAGGATCTACCATCAAGATCATAGTTGGAAGATTTGTCCTTTGCTTGATCAGAAATACAGTGGGGCAAAAAAGTATTTAGTCAGCCACCAATTGTGCAAGTTCTCCCACTTAAAAAGATGAGAGAGGCCTGTAATTTTCATCATGGGTACACCTCAACTATGAGA